AAGCCCCAGGCAGAGTTGCTCTGCCCCGGGCTTCCTGGAATCAGCTGCTGATCAGTTTCAGCAGCAGCTGACTTGGGGACGCCTGGGGTTCTTAAGTTGATTCTGTATGTAAGTCAGAACTGGCGGTCAGTTTCAGCAGTGTCTGAATCTGGACGCCAGTTCCGACTTACATACAGATTCAACTTAAGAACAAACCTACAGTCCCTATCTTGTACGTAACCCGGGGACTGCCTGTACATTCCTACTCAACTCAAACATAGAACTCATTCTTGCATACCTTGATCAGCATTGATGTAGAAATACTTGTAGGTAGGGTTTCCTTTCTCATTTATGATCTCTGGATGGACCTTCCCACTGGGATCTGTGAAATGAGAAAGTGATTAAAATGTGTTGTCCAGTAAGAGGCTATAGCAACTGTGACCATGGCTTACCCATGAAAAGGATTCTGGGAATATAACCACCATCAGGGCTAAAAGCATCATCCTTTGGTTCTTCTTCATCCTATGGGTGCAAGAGAAATGTAAGAACATTCTGCTTTCTAAACAAGAGATCTAACAACATGCAATATTTACCTTAAAGCTATTTTCTTCCAATGGTTGTTATAAAATGGTAATTTGAATAAACATAAAAAGATAAAGATAAATAATTGCAAAATCCTTTACTTTGCAAACAAAGGGGGAAAAAAGGTCAACCAACAAGTAATAATTGTAAAAATAACTATAAATCAAATATTTTCACCATTAAACAGACTCACTGTTTTGGTGTTGGAATATTTTACAAGTAGTAAGGGTGTATTGAAAAGCAATATCCTTTCTTATTGAGAAATAGTACAGTGTACAGAGTTAAAAATGAAATAGAAGAGAATCAGTTGCATGAGTAAAACCATATAATAATACAGTAATTTAAAAAAAATATCAGTTAAATCAGTCAATATTTTGTGTCTATTCAATAATGCCAAGAATTTATTTAGGAAGGGATGGAGTCAGAAGAAACAATTAAAGGTAAGGGGGAAATGCTCAGTTGCAAAATGGTAGCATGGGCATAAAGTGTAGGGAGGCCTACCTCTAGGTTCACCATAATAAAATTATGGGCAAGTTCAGAGATCTCCTTGGATTCAGCAAATTTTGGCTTTAAAGCTAAGAAGGAAAACAAGGGTAGGGAGAAAACTAGGTAAGAGAAAAACACCAGCAACAACATTCAGACCTACCTCAAAATGACCACTCCATCCCTTCCTTGTAGAGGTTAGGTGCTTGTTACTGAATAGTAAGTAACCCACTCTGTGTGTCAAATTACTAAACCCATACCTCCAGGACCAGATTAAGACCTTTAGAGGCCCTAAGCACTGAAAAGATTATGGTGCCCCCCCATATGTAATTCAAAATAAAAACAATACTATACCATAAAATACATTTTTATTTTTCGAAATGACACAAAACTTACATGTATGATGAAATTAAAATAGCTTCTTTCTAGATTTGATTGCAAAATACTGGATAAATTCATCAAAGCTGACTCGATGAAGCATGTCCGCTTCCATACACAATAGAGAAAGTGAATCAAGTCTGTCCTGACACATTGTTGTTCTCTGAGGGTTTTTTATTCTTTTCAGCTGAGAAAAAGAGCGTTCTGCGGAGTTCTGATTTTTCCCATGACTACTTAGATGCTTTTTTTTTTAATCTCAAATATGAAATTTTTTCAAAAAAAAATCTCATTTTTTTTTGGTGCCCCTGCTTTGCTGGTGCCCTAAGCACGTACTTAGTCTGCCTATTGGGTAATCCAGCCCTGCGATACCTCACTCAGAGTGAAAACTAACCAGTCCAACCGTCAGTGAACAGTCACATAATGAATACTGACCTAATATAGTCACAAGGGTAATTTTTGATCCAATGGTATAGAAGCAAAAAGCTTTCACTGTCCCATTATCTGTCACCTAAACCACCCAATCCATCTTATCTGCATGTTTAGACCTATATCATTTTGCTTAGCCAGTTCCATTATGTCACTGAACAAGACAAAAATCTAACCATCCACTGAGAAAGACCAGTTTGGAATATGCAGATTTACTGTTGTTTCAAACTTTTTAAAACTTTCCACTCCAAGAATTAGACCTTCAAAAGAAATGGAAGATACTTTCCATTTGGTGGGTTTTTTTAAACAAGTTTATAGCATGGATTTGAGCACTCATTAAATGTATTGCATTGAAGATTTCTATTTATGCACTACTATGTTGATCTAAGCAAAAACTAAATATAACACATGCTATGTTTGAAATGTAAAATAATCATTGACTTGTATAAAGAAACCTTCCATTAAGGATTTTAAAGTGTGCTAGAATTAAATTCACATACCTTTGCAAGCTCCACACCAGGACTTGTGGATGATAATCATTAGAGGCAAACCACTTTGGAAAAGAAAAACAAAAGCACATCTGACATGAATTTTAAGACAGTTAACAAGACTGCATTCCTTAACAAAACTGAAAAAATGCACTTTCCAGTAATTCAAACTTCTAAAGAAGGCCCTAGCTATTGGAAAAAGTCAGATATAAATTGATTCTATTGTGCTCTCAAAACTTCATTTTCTTGCTAAAGTCTTCTCAAGTTATATACACATAAGCACCAAATGATTCAGTAAAATGCTATTGAAACACTCTGTACTTCAAATAGCACCCTGCAACCCCCATATGCACCACTTTGCTACAATTATATTTTATGCAAAGTATCGTTTGAGAAGCTATGATTGGTTGACTGTTACTATTCTGTTGAATTAGGTGTTACCATTGTATCTGAAGTTTTGCTATGCCTGCATTAGGGAAGTATGGTATCAGTTTGGGAAATGCCCACAGCTAGCCTTTTATTGGCAACAAAGGAACAATTAAACACTGGCAAGTCAGATTTACATCAGGACCAGTCAGATGTGTTGATGGGCCCTTAAGAATAATCCATTTCCTCAGTGACTCCTGAGAGAGGAAATGTACACAAAGGGGGCCAACTCCCATGTCTCAGCAAATATCTTTCTAGCACCTGGAAAATATAAATGAAGATTGATGACATCACCACAGGGCTTTTCTTCTCCCCTTTTGACACCTGCCAGACTGATTGGAAGACAAAGATGTTGAACTGGAGAGATTGGTCCTAGACTGAGAAGAGAATTCACTGTGTATTAAGAACTGTAAACTAGACCACCCAGTGCGGTAAGAAAAATTACTTGTTTCAAATCTTGTTTAGTCTCAAAGTACAGAATATAGACTAAGATTTTCTTTTAATTTCTTAATTAACCAACTCTGACCTCTGTGCCTAATACTTATAATCACTTAATAAGCTTATTTTAAATGTTTTATCCTTACTGATTAATTTGTCTGAAGCGCTTGGGGAATCTGCTCAGCTTACAAGGGATGGGACACATCCATTATCCTTGGACAAAGTGGCATATTAATTAATGAGCTTGCATTGTTCAAGAGGAGGGCTAGAGCAGTGTCAGACAGTAAATTTCTGAGGTGCAAGGCTCAGGAACTGGGGGGATTTTCTGGTGTACCTCACTCTATATAGTTCATGAGTAGCTTCAAAAGCATTCATGCAACTTAGCTGGGTATGTCTCTGCGTGCTGTTTGCTGACTGAACACAGCACCTGAAGGGGTTTGCTGCTTGTCACTAGCACTGCATTGTAAGAGACAGCCCAAGGAGGAATGTTAATGGAGCACAATGGTCCCACAATTCCAGGTTGCAGACCGGGGATGTGTCACAGCCATCCAACAACTTTTCCAATGTTCGAATCCTGTAATCTCCTTTGCATTAAATTCAATTTGTGTTAGGCAATTAGACAGAAGGACAACACTAGGAATGTTTCCTAATATGTCCTAGTCTCTGGGAGTCATCTGGCAGAGCCAGCAGGAGCACTACAATAAATTGCCCAGAGCAAAACAGACATAACACATGCTACATTTTAAACGTGATGTTCACATTTATAGCTCTTTTATGCATATAGGACATTTAACCACCATGTCACATACCCTGTTCGGAGCAAGACTAGCAGACACAGTGCTACTATGCCAACAGCCACCTGGAGCTCTGTCACTAGCACTCTGTTTCTGTTACCACTGGTAGCAATGATAGGAAATTAGGAACTCAGCAGGAGGGGAGGGAGGAAATTCAATAGGCACAGATGGCAAACTATTTACTACCAACAGTAAAAAAAATCTACGAACTATGAAGCAGTTTATTAATAATAAAATAATAATAATAATGAGTAAGATGACTGATGGCTGAAATCCAGAAAAAATCATTTTCTAAGTCTAAGTGGTAATGAGATCAATTGGTACAGTTTGGCAACTGTTCACTCTGTCAGACACTAAAATCAATCATCTACTGTAACAGGAATGAGATCTTGGTAACAGAATGTTAAGAACATAAGAATGGCCATACTGGTTCAGATCAATGATCCATCTAGCTCAGTATCCTGTCTTCCGACCGCAGCTAGTGCCAGATGCTTCAGATGGAATGAACAGAACAGGGCAATTATCAAATTGTCCAGTTGTGGCTTCTGGTAGAAGGTTATCAAAAGACAATTTCATGAGCCCACTTCCATTCCCTTTCTCTAGTTTTCTGAGAAAGCAGTAGTCCACTCTTAGAAGCAGTCCCTAAACCACTGTGTTGATTTCCACGTTCCTTTCTATGAAGCACCAAAACTACCATGGGGCACACTTGAGGAGGAAGCGTGGAAAGCTGCAGAATGTGGGTTTGTGATATAAAGGACAGTGAGGGAACCCCTATTTTAATCAGCTACTAGAAGTTTTTGTTGAAACTTTCCGCAGAGTCCAAAAACTAACTCCCATGAAAAAGTAGAACTATTATCCCACTATCTTTATAGATTTTAAAGCCTGAAGGGATTATGATAATCTAGTCCAGAGGTGACCAACCCACGGCTCGCGAGCTGCATGTAGCTTCTGAAGAAAAAAATTGCGGCTCCTGACGGAACCGGGACAGAACCCAGAACCACTCAGGTCAGCCGCTCTCACAACCAGGCTACTTTGAGCCGCATGCATACTCAGGGCCCGCGCCGTTCTGCTCATGGCCCCCAGTGCACAAGGTCATATCCAGCATGTGCAGGCTGGGTCACACTCAGCATGCGAGCTGCATGTAGCTTCTGAAGAAAAAAATTGCGGCTCCTGACGGAACCGGGACAGAACCCAGAACCACTCAGGTCAGCCGCTCTCACAACCAGGCTACTTTGAGCCGCATGCATACTCAGGGCCCGCGCCGTTCTGCTCATGGCCCCCAGTGCACAAGGTCATATCCAGCATGTGCAGGCTGGGTCACACTCAGCATCTCAGGTCAGCTGCTCTCACAGCTGGGCCACTGTGAGCCGCATGCGCGCTCATGGCCCGCACCATTCCGCCCACGGTCCCCAGCGCACACAGTTCCCAGCCTGCACATGCTAGCAGCCGGCCACTGAGCACAGGCAGCGGTGGCTCTGGCTCCATCTGCGGTGGAGGCCTGGGCATTAGATTAGAGGGAGAAGAGGGATTGGGTTAGAGCGGGGAGGGGAAGAGAGGAGATGTTTGGCTCTGGAGAAGGAGAGGGAGGAGAGGGGTATCGGGTAGGTAGGGGTGTGTGTGCATGGTGTCCCGGCAAGCACATGATTAAAGCCGGCTGCCCAGCGCCTGTAGAAGGATGCGCATGGTGGTAGCAGCAACAGCAGCAGCGGCTCTGGCTCCAGGACCCAGGCATAAGGTTTGCGGGGAGGGGCATTGGGTTACAGTGGGGAGGTGAGGTGTCTGGCTCTGGGGAAGGGGAGAGGGATCGGGTTGGAGGAGTGCACATGGCATCCCAGCGAGCACATGCTCAAAGCCGGCCTGTCAGCACACGCACCCAGCGCTTGTAGGGAGACATGCATGGCAGTAGCAGCGGCCATTAGATTGAGGGGGGAGGGGGATTGGGTTAGAATGGGGGACAGGGGAAGGGAGTAGGAATCCCAGGACTGCATGCCAACTTCAACTTCTCAGGAAGCACACAGCTGTCATGAAGAGCAGAGGAAAAGCATACGCTTCCTGAGAAGTTGGAGCTGGCACGCAGTCCCGGGATTCACACGCGCACAGGCAGACAGCAGATGGAAGAAAGTCCCCGGCCAAGCAACAGACCCGGTGTTCCAGGAAGCGTGCCAGCTGTTTATGGGAGGGGAAGGAAGGAGAGGGGAAGAGCAACCCACATGTTTCCTGAGACCTGGCATCCCCAGGTATCGCCCGAGATGTCCCTGTCCACTCACCCTGGCCAGACCACCCCACCAGCACCATGTCCCCTGCCCCCACCAGTACCCTGGCACCTGCCCCAGCACCCACCAGCACTCCGTCCCAGCACAGAGCCCCAGCACCCACCAGCCCCTTTCCCCAGCACTGTGCCCCTGCCCCCACCAGCACAGTTGGGGCCACATTAGTGAGGCATGGGGTTTTATGGAGAGGTTGTGTTTTACATCTCACTTGTGTGGCCCCGACTGACTTTTCTGTGGGTCAGTGACCCCGACTCAAAACAGTTTCCCTGCCCCTCTCATAAATAAAGACAATGCTGAAACATGTGGGCTGTGTCTAGACTGGCCAGTTTTTCCCAAAAATCAGCCACTTTTCTGGAAAAACTTGCCAGCTGTCTACACTGGCCACTTGAATTTCCACAAAAGCACTGACTTCCTACTGTAAGAAATCAGTGCTTCTTGCAGAAATACTACTCTGCTCCCGTTCCGGCAAAAGTTCCTTTTACGCAAAGTTTTTATCCAAAAGGGCCTGTGTAGACAGCACAGATTTGTTTTCTGCAAAAAAGCCCCGATCGCAAAAATGGCGATCGGGGCTTTTTTGCGGAAAGGAGTGTCCGTGCCAATCTAGACACTCTGTTCCGAAAATGCTTTTAACGGAAAAGTTTTCCGTTAAAAGCATTTCCAGAAAATCATGCCAATCTAGATGCAGCCAGTGTGTTTGACATTATTTTGTTTAAAAATGAAGCCTGACCAACAAGCCCCAATCTGGCGACAGCATCGTAACACTCCTGCACTCCCCCCAGATCCCAAATCTGAGTCTATCATACACTGGAACCCCCTGTCCTGAGCCTCTCATCCCCAAACTCCTGCACCCCCCACATCCCCAGTCTTTTGCCACAATACTCCTGCACCATCCACACACAGCAAATGTGTCCTGAGCCCATCATACTCCCATCCTTCCTACCCTGAGCCCCTCATGCACCCCAGCCCAAACTCCTGCACTCTCACTGCCGCAAGCCTGCGCCTTGCTCAGCACCCCAACCCTCCACTGACTCAAATACTGTCCAGCTTGGAGCCCCCTCCCTGGGACGCCATACCGGCACCTATTTTCCCCCAGCACAGCTGCTTTCCCCACCCCCTCAACTCCTCCCTCCCCTCTCCTCCCAGTACATGGCTCTTCGCACCCTGTCCATCACTATTTTGGCTCTTCTGCTCTAACGGGTTGGCCACCGGCTCTAGTCTATTTCATCCTATGTAACACAAGCCACAATCTCCCCCAAATCATTTCTCCATCAAACCCGTAACTCATTGGAGCTATAGCATCTTTTAGAAAGATGTCTCATAGTCATTTAAAAACTTGAAGTGATTGAGAACCCACCATATCCCCATACAAATTGTTCCAATATCTGTTAAAAAATTTCATTTTTGTCTGGATTGTGTTATGTGTTTGTCTTCTAGATTCAAGAGCCATGTTCTCAGAAGTCTCTTTCCCACAAAGGTACTTGTAGACAATGATCAAGTCACCTCTTAACCTTCTCTTGGATAAAGCTAAATAGTTTCATAAGTCTTTCACAATCAAATCATTCCATTAGCTTTTTTCTGAACCCTTTCCAAAGTGAAGATACAGGGTTCCAGTAAAGGTCCTACTAATTCTTTACACAAAGGTAATACCTGTTCATATATAATTCCAAGCAAAAAACATGTAGTCCTGTGGCATCTTAGAAACTAACAAATATATAGTATCATGAGCTTTTGTGGGTAAAAGATACTTCATCAGATGAATTGGAGCAGAAATAACAGAAAGTGTGTGTCGGTGTGGGTGTATAAAATATATATAAAATAAATATGAACACACAAAAAAGTTCTAAAATCTCATCCTAGAAAGGACTACTGTTTCTTCACTGATTATCTCACATTTACATACCATAGCAGGATTCATCCACATTAGAAAGTAGGCATCTTTAGGATAGACATATTAATATTCAATGTCTTTATTTTCTCCAGTTTGGGAAGTATGAAACTGAGCAGTATGTCATTCAGAAATACATTTTAACACATGATTAGAAAACAGCAGAATTACAGCTAGTATTGAAATACATGTGATTTTATTGGAATGGATTATTTCAATAAACTCAGTTTTGAGAAAAAATAGTCAAATATTTCCCAAGATTTGTATATATGTTAAGCCTTGACTTCCCTTTACCTCAAAATATTGCATTTTAAGTCACCAAGTTTTGCTTTTGAAGTTGTTTTGGATAAAGGAATAAGAAGCCCTTCTAGACAGAACCAGGAAGTATTAGCCTTAAGAAGGGAGCCTGCCTGGCATAGTAACTAAATTTCCAGCTACATATATTTCATATCATGCTCCACCGAACATAGGAAAGGGCTGCTCTGATACAAGTGTCAGTTTATACACAAATTGTAACTGAGTAACAAAAGTAAGAAGTTGCACTGAATGATGTTTTCTAATTAATACTAATCATGGTATTCCAAAACATCCTTGATGTAGGTATGTTTATTGGAGAGTAAAAATAAAAGTAAATATTTATATTGTTTTCTTGGGAAAAATATATGGGGGAGGGAGGTCACTATAAGACTGAATCAATTTTTTTTAAACAATTTACATAGCATTTTCTGACATCTTTCCTTAAAACTAAGAATTTCAGAAGTTGAATTTACTGTTCATTACTTCAGTCAGGACCAGGATTTCACTTATGTTCATTTGTTGCAGGTATCTCATTTAGAGGATACAATTCATATCTATAATGTGTTCAATTTTTATTTATAATCATATTCAGGTTTTCATGCAAACAGTACAATGCTGTAATATTTGGGCTGTTAACATTGCAAGTGAATATTATAAAAACTATGCACATACATTAAAATAAAGGTCATGCAAGACTATCAGTAGCACACGTTGAACCTCTAAAATCTGGGACACTCTGGTCCAGCAACATCTGTGGTCCAGCAGAGTCAGGAGTGCAGCCCCGTCTGGGCCAGAGGCAGTGGGACCGTCACGGCAGGGAGTACATCCTGAGCCCAGTGGCCGGGGCTGGCACATGGGAGCAGGGCAGACAGCCAGGAGAATAGTGTTGACCTCTGCTAATCTGTCTGGCCAGCTCCCTAGTTTGGGACTGCTCAGGTCCTGAGGGTACCAGACAAGGGAGGTCCAACCACAGGGTAAGCCAGATCTTGTTTGCATACAAGCAACATTGAACAAGGAAGTCTGAAATTATAACTAGGAATAAATTGTCTTTCATCAGATTATCTGAATATCATAGGAGAAAATCTCCATGAATTAGACACTATTTCCACAGCTTACTGTCTTTCAAAGGAAGTAGTGCACACCGTGAGCTGGGATACTTAACAAAACACACAAAATGCTCTGCAGAGAACAAATTTGCATTAGCAGGAAGGTGATCTATTATTTTTTTTTTTACCCACCTCACATTTCTAAGATTTTAAGTGGACAGTGTCTCTTTGCACCATATAGTTTGTTTCTAACATGTGAGGGGCATGTAAAAGGAAAAATGTAACAGGAGAATTTTTAAAGCTATATCACAATGGTCACACACCTTTAGTAAGATCCCAAACCCCTTCATAAGGCCAGAGGCTGCTGCAGCCAGAGGGATATGGGACAAAAGATATTCCCATGAAGTGAGTTAACAACACCTTTGCAGGGACATCTGATATACAGCGAACACAGAAGGCGAGCCGGCACCAGAAATCACACATCAGACACAGGCAAAAAGCCAGGATTTCAGGAGGAGAGTGGCATGGAATTCTTAAACAAACATATTAAATTGTAAAATTCTTCCGGGGGAGGGGGAGAGAGAAGAGTGGTTGAGTTAAGGCTTGATTTATTTTAAAGTAGATTGTTCCTTACATTATATTGTTCAGTGGATAACAACACTGAATTACGTAAGTTTATAGAACAGAACAGATAAGTATGAATACAAGTGTCCTTCCAGTTACAATCAATTACAGTCCTCAGCACCAAGAAGGAAAGGAAAATGTGCTAGGAGAAGCATTTATGAAAGAAGCAATTTTAACCACAGAAATACATTATCATTAAAAATCCAATTCTCTGTAGTAGGGATGTTAAAGACTAGTTGACTATCCGATAAGCATTTGCTTATCCAATAGTCTGTTGACTAGTTGATCCCCCCCCCCACACACACACACACACAATTCCTGTCTCTATGAGATAGAGGCAGGAAAGGGAGTGGAAGGAGAGGTACTTCAAAGTGGCAGTGCTGCACAGTTGAGCCAGGGATCAGCTGTGCAGCGCTGCTGCTTTAAAACACCGAAGAGCCATGGAGCCTGGGGTCAGCTGGGCACTTCCCAGCTAACCCCGGGTTCCGAGCAGCATTTCCCCAGAACCCAGAGTCAGCTTAGGTCTCTCCAGCTGACCCTGGGTTCTGGGGAAATGCCACAGGGAACCCAGAATAATCTGTGGAGTCCCCAGCTGACCCCAGGTTCCATGGCTGCCCCACTGAAACACGCAAAGGCAGCATTCCAAAGGGGTAGCCACCACACAGCTGATCACCATGGGCAGGCACACTGGCTCAGTCTCAGCCTGCAATATCCTTTAAATGCAGAACCACAGAGAGACGGGGAGGGTTGTGTGTAGCTAGTACTGTTAACCGATAAGCATTCGCTTATTGGTTAATTGTTTAACCAGCTACACTATTACATCCCTACTACCAAGGGCAAGATTTTCTAGAGGTTTATGATTACTAAAATAGAATTTTCAGCAGATCAGATCTCAGAGATGTTTTACTGCTTCTGGCCATATATTTCCCAGCATTTATTCTTTATTTCAATTTAACTGGCCAGAGGGGTGGAAGTCTCTTTACATAGGAGCTATAGTCATTTTTTAATCTCACAATATATAAATCCATATACTGACTAGCAGGTACTACGAAGCAGTCAGAGCATTTGGACTTTTGTAGTCAGTGAACTGATCCATCCACTTTATCCCACCATTCCACATAACTAAACTTCAGACAAATAAATAAATTATTAGTAGGGAGGGAAACCTTCCTCAACCGGCAAAGAGAAGCAGGTATGCATGTGCAGGGTGAGAAGTGACTAAGATTCGCGTTAAACAGGACAGGTTGAAAGTTGATGTAGCAAATAGATAGGCCTATAGAGGAGCTAATGCATGAAAAGCTAAGGAGTAAATCTACAGAACTCTAGCATATGGTGTATTAACTGTGTGGCCATGCTGGTGCTCACTAAAAATTCACTAGTGTGCTTTGACCTTCTATACTAGAGAAATGTTAGTGCATAGTAGAAAGTACATGCAGTTACTGGGAAGTACACTGTAACACTGTAGATTTACACCTCAGCTGGCCATGTACTAACTCTCTCTCTAAGTTCTTAGCTGAAGCTTATAAAAGAGTTCCAAGGGCTGTAGTAAGAACAGAGACTGTAACAATGAAGTACAATTCAGATCATCCTCATTGTTCAGTTGACAGCAAATGCTCTCACAATTAGAGCACCCAGGATCTACCTATAACTTTCAAAAAGTCAGAAAAAGTTGTTGAAATAAATTTTCTGAAATTAAATTAAATATTTCATTCCCTCTAAGGCACAGATTAGGAGAGAAAAAAAAGCAGCTTGAGTTTTCTATGTAAGCATGTTTCCAATGTCCAAACTTTGAAAATTAATTTCCTGGATTCAGAAAAACTTTTGAAAACACAACCAGTTTTTAAAAAGGATGTAAGTCCCAATCCCTAAGAAGGAACGCCTCCTTTGTAGTTTGATGTATTTGAGCTTTATTTAGAGCAGGCATGAAAAAACCCAGATGAAAAACTGTCCTCCGAGATGCAGCAGCAACATGTGGCTAGTGGGATCTACTCTTCTGTTGCCTCTCCTTTGAGCACTGCACAGACCATATAGTTACTGAGGTTTGGCTCTCCATAGTCCCTATTAGTAAACTTTTTGAATGTTTGAGGATGTTATTAATGCTGAGGCTGCTACTGCAGGGTGAACACACACCACTCCTGTTTGACAATTTCTGAAAGAGCATATCTGCTGTGTCAGCAACTGGCTCTCCATACCCAATCTAGCTGGATACTCTTGCTCACATGATGAATAATGCAGGACTCCGCTCCTCTCTCTCACCATAGATTACTAGCTTACATGCTAGAAAACAGTGACTAGGAAGGGACAACTTCCCATTAGCACAGACTCTTATTTTGGGATGTGAGGAGGCTCTTGTTGACCAGACCCCTCAGCCAGCCCTCCTGTTCCAACGCTGGACTGAGGCTACGGGGGTCACTGGATGCTGCGGCTGAGGTACTGCAGGAACATGTTGGCCAACTGGGACAGGTTCTCGTCACTGGGGTGCATTTTGGTGTAGCTGATGAACTGCCTGCGGAGCCGACTCAGCTCGGCCATGCCCACGGGCCGGCTCAGCCCCAGCCCCTCGCTGGCCCCAGCCACGCGAATCAGCTCTCCGGGCTGTAGCCCGCTCCTCTGGGCCGCCAGCACAGCAGCCAAAACCTCCTGGGTGACCCGGTCCAGCTGGTGGAGGAAGCCCGCGGACTGCAAGGGCTGCGAGCGGGTGGACTGGTTGGGCGGGGGCGGCTTGCTCTCAAAGAGGGCGGCGTAGATCTCGGCCAGCGGCAGAGGCTCCTGCCCGTGCACGGTGAAAAGGGGCCGGTCCCAGCGGTTCCGCGAGTCCGGGGTCTCGAAGGGGCCGGCGGGCGGGGGCGAAGCGCCCCCCACGCAGTGCAGCAGGCAGTGCGGCGTGCCCGCCTGCTTGGTCACGCAGTAGAGCTCGTAGCGGAAGCTCTTCAGCTCGTTCCCCGCGTCGACGATCACCACGTCCCGCCGGCTCAGCCGCCGCTCCACCTCGGCCCGCAGCGCCGCGCGGCCGCCCGCCGCCTCCTCCGCCACCACGTGCACCGGCCGCTCCTCCCCGCGCAGCGCCGCCCGCAGCTCCTCGGCTCGCCGGCTCTTCCCGCTGCCCGGCAGCCCGCACACCACCACAAGCGGCATCTTCCGGCCACGGCCAGGGGCGCCGCCATTATAACCCGGAAGTCCATGGCAAGCACATCCGCGGAGGTCAACTCAACCCACGTCACTTCCGTGCCCAGGGCAAGACAGCGCGGCCCCAAGGCTGCGTCGGTCAGGGAGGAGCGTGACGTCACAGCGAGCCCCAGCCATGGTAACCAGCCACTCCATGGCAGTGCCACTCCATGAGGTATCGCCCCATGCCACGGTAACCAGCCCCCCACAGCACGGCCACCCCGCAGTGGACATCACTCCAGGTCATTGCACGCAAGGACCCCACAGCACAGACACCCACCAAAGCATCAGGCCTTGGCACACAGCCACCTCAGGCCATGGCGTTCTACCATCCCCCAGCCTGCCCACACACAAAGCAGGCTTATCTCACCTTCCCCACTCCTTCCTCTCATATACGCTTTGCATTCCCTCTAGACACTACAGAATCTGGATACATGTCACCCGGATCTGTCCTTCCAGCAGTGGAAGATGAGAGAGTGTAATTCACTGACTGATCTCCCACTGCAGCAGCCAAAAAGGAGAAGAAATCTCACTGCCAATGCTCAACCGCCTGTCTCCCACTAGGTTGTTGTCTCACTAAATGTAAGAAGGGTTATCTAAGGTACTTATTACTTTCCACGGAAAACCAGTACTGCAGTAATTAACAGATACTGCAGTAACATGGTTTTTGGAAAGCCATATCACATGGATTCCATTAGACAAAGCGAAATACCAGCTTAGATTTCTTTAACTGCATTTTCCATGTTAATTTCATGTGCTCACTAGAAATTCTCATAATTTGTGTGGGAGAAAACAGAGGGATCAGTTTGAATGCAAAATTCAAATTTGAGCTATAGCCTTAATACAAATATAAGATGTAATTTGTATATGTTTGAAAATAAGAAAATAATTTACACTTCCAAGTTGGTATCACAGAGAGTAGTAAAATAATCCTTTCAATTAACTTGATACTCTCACGTGTGGAAACATCTATTCATGCAAGTAATTCTGTTGAGCTCAAAGAAACTATTCATGTATATAAAGTTAAGCACTTGGGTAAATGTTTGCAAGATAGGAGCCCATATTTCTTTCTACATTGTAGATTGTAAAAAACCATGATAATTGTTTTCAAATTAAAGATGCAATAAAGCCTCAATCTGGCAACTGGCTCTGTGGGGAGACCTATGTAAATCCCCCACTGTATTCAATGAAGATCTACATGGCCTCAAGGATCTATCTATCTATCTATCTATCTGGAAGATCTGATTGCAGAATTAGGGTTTGTCATTAACAAATATTAAATATTATCTCTGATGTATTATCTGTGTCTGCAGGTTCTCCTATACCACCTGGCTATTTTTCTAGGAATGTAAAATCCCAGTTAATCAGTTAGGTTAACCTAACATTTCACAAGTTAACATTTAACCGGATAACTGACTAAAGTGGAATCCGGGCTGGGGAATGCGCCATCCTGTTGGGATTGTGGCTGCCATCATCTCCCAGCCCCCCCCAGAGCAGCCCCTGCCTGCAAGACGCCCGAGGTCCCCACGGACAAAGGCTGCTCTGTGGGAGCAGCTCTTGCCTGCAGGGTGGCCATGCCTGCCACAGACAGGGGGGGGCTCCGGGGAGCACAGAGGCCCCCCCCTCTTGGCGGGCTTTCTGCGGAGCTTGAACAGCACCCTGCCCGCAGAAGGTGAGGAGCAGCTCCAGCCCCCAATGGTTACTAATTAACCCAAACTGTTAAGTGATACTCATTTAGGTTGATATTTACCGGTTAACTGGTTGACCTTTCACTACCCTAATTTTTATACATAACTAGCTCTGATTAAATACAGAATCTTTTTTCTTATTTTTTCTTTCTGCGGAGCTTGAACAGCACCCTGCCCGCAGAAGGTGAGGAGCAGCTCCAGCCCCCAATGGTTACTAATTAACCCAAACTGTTAAGTGATACTCATTTAGGTTGATATTTACCGGTTAACTGGTTGACCTTTCACTACCCTAATTTTTATACATAACTAGCTCTGATTAAATACAGAATCTTTTTTCTTATTTTTTAATGTAAAGATACTCCTATGAACTTAAATTGTGTAGCATACCTAGCTGCTGCCTCTTTCTTCCCATCTTCTAGTGTCCTCCAATGAATGTGATCTCCAAAACCTGGAAAAGGATAAGATTTATAAAAGTACTGGAGTAAAATGTAAAATAACACATACATATGTTATCTAACACTTACGGATACTATCAACTAATTTTATTTCCCTTCTTTTAGTGAGTGATAGCTTGTCTCAAAAATGTACACACATGCTTATCTCTATGTATGACTAATCCCACTAAAGTCAATTAAATGCATATGCATAAAGTTAAACAAGTGCATAAGTCTCTGTAAGACTGAGGCATATAATAGTATTAGGTTCATGCAAATACAAATATTCAACCTACACCAAAATTCCTGACATATAGGTACAGATAGCCAACATTCTAATCCGAAGACCATTTAAGTTTATTACATTGCTCTCATCTGTGAATATCTGCTAACTGTTCAGAGACATCATATTAAACTCTGAAGTTTATTCTGCTTACCAATTTCTGTTCACTATGAACTACCCCACTATCCTATTTCACTTAAGCTACCAAATATTGAAATAGGAAAAGGTTCAGAAAAGGGCAACAAATATTAGGTGTATGGAACCGCTTCCATATGAGGAGAGATTATTAAGGCTGCAACTTGGAAAAGAGACAACTAAGGTGGGATATGACAGAGGCCTATAAAATCTTAACTGGTATAGAGAAAGTAGATAAAGTGTTATTTACTCCTTCTTATAACACAAGACCTCCGGGTCACCAAATGAAATAGGCAGCAGCTTTAAAACAAACAAAAGGAAGTATTTCTTCACAGAGTGCACAGTCAACCTGTGGAACTTCTTACCAAAGTATGTTCTGAAGTCTAAGACTATATCAGGGTTTTAAAAAGAAATAAATTAATTAAATTAATAAACACTTGCTGTTAGCCAGGATGGGCAATGAAGCCAATGGGGCAGAAACTAGGAATGAGTGACAGGAGATGAATCATTTGATGATCACCTGTCCAGTTCATTCCTTTTGAAGCATTTAACATTGGTCACTGTAGGAGGCCAGGTTACTGGGCTACATGAACTTTTGGTCTGACACAGTGTGTCCATTCCTACATTCTTAACCATTAGACAGTAAACGCTTTTGGATAACCAACTTTGGCCAGATGTAAAGTAGTAATCTACAAATAAAAGGTTCCATAATCTCTTGAAATCGTCACCTAGTTTCCTTGCACAAAACACTTTGATGAATTAGTATGATTTATGTGTAATCATCAGCATATTATGTTCTGCTATAATTTGTGTAACCCAAAGACCTCTCAATGTCAACTGACAAAAGGCATAAGGGTTACAGGAATACCCTAGTCTGGTATTTGTATTTGAGTTCACCAGAGTGTGTCATGTGAGGTCTCTAATAAAAATCTGTGTAACACCTGTTATGAATATAAAAGCACACGTATGAATGTTGTGTAAGGAGTTATGGACATACACTGAAAATTATGTTCTTAAGGTCTACGTCTGATCACCAGCAAGAGTGAAAAACTGGTATTTTTCAGGCAAGAAATATTTCTTTTTGTGTACATTTAGGTCTGGATGGAGAATAGATCCATGAAAATGAATCATAGATGATTTCCTATTCCATTCATTTCCTCTGAAGCACCTGGCATTGGTCACTGTTGGAAGACAGGACACTGGATTAGACAGATCATTGGTCTGACCCAGTACCGTTATTCTTATGTTAAGTATTCTATGCTTCAAAATGGGTCTCCACTTTCCAGTCTGAACCAAATGCTGAAGGACTGTGATATCTTCAAAGAGAGGGAAACAATAGGAAGAGATAAATAGTGGAGGGAAGAGGTGAAGCTTATTGGCAGGTCAATATCAAAAGTTTCCTGTGGTATATTTGGGGGACAAAGCACAACCTGGCATTCTTCACCAAGGAAATAAATGACTTTGTTTTAGGAAAAAATCTCAGAAAGGCTGGGTTGAATACACCGGAGAGAATATTAGGTGAGATAATCTTGAAACTGTAAGGTAGCTTGCTAGTTAGGCTTAGTGTCTACAAAACATTTTTTGATATGTAATCATTTGTTTCCAATATTAATATTCAATCACTTGAATCTCTGTTCTTGGATAATAAACGTACTCTTGTTTTCACTATACATATATCTAACGGATGAGCATTCAGTAGAACTGCATTCTAAGGTGTAAATAGGCCTGGTAATTCCAAGAGCTCAGTGAATAAGCAGCTGAACATTACTGGGAATATTGAGAGGATTTGGGGGACAGGGTATGACTATCCCTAACTTGCAAAGAAAATGTGAGGCCTGCGGAGCCTCCAGGACAGCACTGCCAGAAACTGCGGCAGTCAAAGAGCTGACACGCACACAGACAGGATTGCCTCATGGTAAGAACAAACAATGAATATAAGCACCCCACGTGCAGCAGTGCAGAAGTAAGGGTGGCAATGCCGTAATATGCCATCCTTGTTTCTGTGCTGCTATTGGCAGTGGCTCTGCCTTCAGAGTAGGGTTCCTAGCCAGCAGCTGCTGCTCTTCAAGTGCCCAGCTCTGAAAGCAGTGCCAACACCAGCAGCACTGCAGAAGTAAGGGAAGCAGTACTGCAACCCTCCCACCCCAAAAAACTTTTTTGGGGGTCAGGACCCCTACAGCAAGGCTATGTCTACACTGCAGGATTTTTGCGCAATAACAGCCATTATTGCGCAAAAACTTGCGGACCGTCTATACTGCACGTGAGTTCTTGCGCAAGTAAATTTACAGTAAAGCTTTGGAACAGAGGGCTTCTTGCGCAAGAGTTATTCCTCTCCCCATGAGGAATAAGCCCTCTTGTGCAAGAGCTCTTGCACAAGAAGGCAGTGTGGACGGGCAATGGTCTCTTGCGCAAGAAACCCCTTTGGCTAAAATGGTGTTTTCTTGTGCAAGAGGGCGTCCACACTGCCATGGACACTCTTGTGCAAAAGCACAGCTCTTGCGCAAAAGCTTATGGCAGTGTGGACATGCTCTTGCGCAAGGCAGTTCTTGCGCAAGAAGCCTGCAGTGTAGAAGTAGCCCAAAAGCATGGTGACATTTCAGATTTAAATAGCTGAAATGATGGAATATACCATTTTAAAAATCCTATTACTATTAAATTGACAAAAATTGTGAATTTGGTAGGGCCCTGCTTTTATATTGCATTATTCCAGGGATGCCAAAATGAGACAATCTGAAAGGGAAATTAAAATTATACTTGAAATTAATTGAAAGACCCCTTACAAAATGCTTCAGCACCAAAGAAAGAATTTTTAAATGTCCTTAAAACTGACTCAGAACCAACAAGACATTTTATGAATGAAAATGAAATTGGAAGTGGCCATAGAGACATGGAGTATCAAAAATAGAGTTCTGACAAAGAATAAAACTATAAAACCCCCTCCTCTTCACTCCCACAACATTAATGCATTTTCCACTGCAATTGCTCAATTTAGAGCCCAGCACCATAATATCTTGTATGTTTCAGCTTCAATTCTACCAGTAAAGCCATCATCTCCTGATCCTACCTACTATGAAGCTTATAACAATAAGCACTATTACTACTTGACTGCATTCTTGCAAATATTAAATGCAGTAGTAGGAGGCAGGGAAGGATCCTCCTGATTAGGGATTTATTTACTTATTTATAGCAATCATAAAGTTTAAATACAAACAAAAAGAAAAGAGATGCCTAACCCTTTCCAAGCCCTTCTCCAGCAGAGGATGTGGTAAGCACCAGGAAAATCAGACAAAGAGAGAAACTGGAGAGCGCTGCTGCTAATTGAATCTTCATGGTGTCCGCTTGGATCCTCGGCAGCACGATTATTTCTCGATGGCCACTGTCAGCAAGATCAGAACAGATAGCTTAGGGGTTTGGGTTGTGGGGTTTTTTTTTAACCCAGGAAGTGATGTTGGGCGGATGTGGGTGGTTCTTCAGAGTCCCGTTTCAGGTAGGTTAAATAAAAGGAACAGATCCTCCAAAATCTGAATGAGAGACTTGCCAAAATATTTTGGATCTATGGGTACAGTCCTGCATATTTGTTTCCAAACTTTCTACTTTCTTAACGAGATATTGCCAGGGAAGGGGGACATTTACATTCATCTGGACTTGAAAGGAGGAGCTCAACCGAGACACAGACACAAATTGGTTCTACTGCACCAGCCCCTCGCGAGGGGTAGTAATAACAAGTCCAATATTTGGCTAAAGCAGTAATTGTTATTACCGGAATGATTTAATGTTTAACTAATCCGGTGCACGTACGTCCTGGAGGACTGACTGAGAGCGGGTCCACATTGATTGGTTGCTCTTCAGTCCCGGTGAGCATGGGGTGGAGTGTTCATACATCACTATGCTCAAAGTAATCTTCAGGGTTCTCTATATTCACACCTACCTGTTTGCAAACTGAGAAAGTAAAAGCTGGAATGATGCAGATCTTAAGTTATATTTTTACAATCTTTGGAATTATTCCATTTAAAACTCCTGGCTCTTAAAATGTCTCAATGTAAAAATCTTGATCAGCCAGCCTTTGACCCCTTAAGAAGTATCCCAACATGCTAATTTTGGGTAATTAGCCCCTGGACTCTTCGGAGGAAATGCTACATGGCTTTGCGACCCTGCTTTCACTTTACCCGTTGCAGTCCTCGGCGCTGTCCCATTGCAAATACCACGGCTTTTATTTTTTGCAAAAAAAAAACCACCCCAAAGAAATCCAAAATCCCAGAGGAAGCACGCACTGCGCTGCAGAAATCCTCCTCCTGCCTAGACGAGACCAGTAAGGAAGGGCACGGATGGTACTAAGGCGGGGCCCAAAAACCACCTCCGCTCCTAGGGAGACTACAATTCCCAGAATGCTCTACCTCGACGGGACTCAAGAGTCCTCCTATGCGCCTGGCATGCTGGGACTTGTAGTTTCTCTCTGCGGATTGGGCGTGCCGAAACGAAAGGGAAGAGGAAGGAGCCGATTTCAACTTTCCATGTTATGCAAATAG